TTTTTTTTTTTTTTTTTCTCTTTCGCGCGGACGAAGTCGCTTGCACCCGCTAGTACTTTATAAAGCAGAGGCTTACATTTTCCACAAAATCTAGTTATTTTTTTTTTAGATACATACATACAAGCTTTCAGGATATTGGGCTTAAGAAAATGTAACATTAAATGTACAATGTGAGCCTTGTATAATAGCAGTATCAGCAGTAGCCATGTAAAGTGTATCAAGCTATAAAATGTAGAGAAATTACATAAAGTTTAAACAACATAATAACGGCTTGACTACGCCTGTTGCATTTCAGACGGGGTAAAGACGCGTGTCTCGACAGCGTCCACTGCGTCAGACGAATTGATGGTGGTGCTCGGGGGGCGCGAGCCGCGGGTGCAGTGCGAGGCGCGCGAGGTGCCCGCCGGCGACGGTACCACCAACCTCACCGCCTCTGTGACATTCGTCAAAGATACGCAGACCACAACAACGTCGGCTCCGAAAGAGCCCGACACCGGTAACATGGCTGACTCTTACAAATGAAAGCTAGCGATCTGAAGAACACTTTTTTTTTTTAAGGTAGTATTTTGTTGTGTCAGAGGACAAGGGCGTGGCCAGCAGCGTGGCGGCGGCGCTGGCTCAGCGCGCGGTGTTGTACGCGGGCGGCGCCGCGGTGCTGCTCGTGCTTGCCGTCGCATTCCTTCTCGCCACATATTTCTGTAAGCGGAGCTCGGACAAGCGACTCTTAGAGGTATTTCTAAAATATAAATATTTCTCACGGTAACTATACATACATTTAAAGAATTTCAATATTATTGAATTGGAGGGTTTTTTTTTTTTTTTCAGAACAACCGTCCTTATATCCACAATGTAATAAGTACATAGTTGAGTAAAGGCATTGAGCCATCAAAAACAAAACCTATCAGAAATGCCAAGTCTCTAGTATAATTTTATTTATTCAAAGTTTTAAAATGCAGTTTGAGCTGGACACGGGAGAGTCGGAGGCGGCCGTGTACGCGTCGCCCCGAGACGATGTGCGCGGTCACCCCGCGCCGCCCGCTGTCTATACCGAGCCATTCAGAGAGACTGGCGCCAACCTGATGTACTCTACGCCTATTCCTAAATGTGAGAGAACAGCATTGAAGACAGAAATGGGTCGCGATGAGAATGGATCGTATTATGAATATGTGAGGCAGGTGAAACAGGTGAAGCCGAGAAGCTGCAATGCTCGCTATGTAAACGGCCTTAACAGCAATAGTTAAAAGAACGTCCATTAAACAAATAAACTAAATTGTCACCACAAGGAAGAGTGAATTATATTATAATTATAAGACTAATGAGGTAAAAAAAAAAAAAAAAAAAAATTAGTTAATAATAATAAATAATGCTACGAAAAATTAACATTTCTTTATTTGTAATAAAAAAAAAAAAAAAAGAAGAAGAACAATCATGTGATTTTAGTAACGTATATAATATCACAACAATCCCAAAGATGTAAAGAAATATGTAATTGCAAACTATAAACGTGTTTTATTGAAAACCGCAGTCCCACAGCACAGCACAACTGCAGGAGGACAAGATAAGCGAATCCGCCAATGGAGCATAAAAAAGTCCGCGGACTTAAAAGGCAACACACCGGCTCGCTGGCTCGCTCTGTATGCTTGAAATTCAAACTTCGCAGTTATATTATATATTTTAGTAGTATATATATATATATATATATATATTTTTTTTTGCGAATGTTTATGCACTTCGCCGTCCGTGCTGCGGGGGCAGCAGGGACGGTTTCGTGTGGGACTCCCGGCCTGGGAACAAAACCGGACTACCCAGTAAACCCCGCGGTGTTCTCCTACGCCCAACCGGACCGTGGCATCTACGTTAGTTTATCCACGGCC